TGTGGTTTGCTGGGGCTGCCTTGTTTTGTGTGGTGCTGACATTGGCAAGATGCTGGTTTTGCCTGCTGCGTGTTGTGGTATGTGAGGTTGTGAGGGATGATGTTGCATGGGAAGTAGGGAATCAGATGGGTCTTCCAGGGTCTTGTTGTGAAATCAATTGGAACTGTCCTGTTAAAGGGCACAGTGCACAAGGAACATGAGGGAAAGAAGAAAGGTGTGTTGGTGCCTGCCCTTTCAAGGCCTTTCAGTGGGGAGATGTGTCCAGATGAGATTTTTAAGATCTGCCTTAGGGCCTTAACTGGTGAGAGAAATGACCAATTCAGGTTCTGCTCAGTTCATGCTGGAACTATTTCATGTTTAGAGGACCTGCTGTGGAGGTTGGACCTTGGGCAGCTGCCAGCCCCTCCCAAGCTGCTCCTTCAAACTCACCCATACACAGGGCTGGGCTGAAAAATAGGATGGAAAACTCATGGGTCAAGATAAAGGCATGGAGATCATTCACCAATTACTGTCCTGGAGAAAACTGACTTGACTTGGGGAAAATGAATTCAATTTATTTCCTATTGAAAATAGAGTAGAATGATGAGGAACAAACACAAAGCTAGAACCTTTGTGTCCACCCCCCATTCATCCCAGGCTCAACTTCACTCTTTCATTTCCAGCTTTTCCACCTCCTCTCCCACAGCAGCACAAGGGAAAGCAGAATGGGGATTGCAGTCTGTTCATAATGAGTTTTCTCCCCCACTCCTTCCTCCTCTCACTGCTCCCCTGATCCAGCACAAAACCCACTTTCCCTGGTGTTCTACTGAGCCAGACTCCATGCAGAAGAGTCAATCTCAACTGCAAGTAAAAGCAGAGCAGGAGAGCAGTCACACAGAGCAGGGCAATCCTGTTCTTACAGGAAGTGGAGCAGAGAGGACCCTCAGGTCTGGTGTGGGCAGTGGGCTCTGCACCCACCTGTGCCCCCCATGGCCATTTCTGCATCACTGTTTGTGTGTCAGTGACCACCTGTGGAGAGTGACAGGGATCAACGTGTTCACACATCAGTTATCAACCACTGCCCAACAGTGATACAGCTCATCATATTACACTAGGACAGGACCATAGCAGCAAGAAATGTAAACAAAACACAGGTCCACAGGTCCCTGGGTGTGGCTGGGCTTAATTTCTGATTTTAGCCTTCAACACTGTAAATCTCATCACATTCAGTAAAAACTTTCATGATCACAGATTCAGAAATAGTGCATTTTATTGCAGAAATACAAGTTTGGAATTGCCATTGATAAATGCAGTTACTGGATTAGCACTAAATATTTTTTTAAAAAAACAAACAATGGTTGGTAATTCATTAAGCTTTACCATCAGTTAAGGCTAGAAACCCGACTTCACCAGGGCACAATGTGACAGAGCTGGAGGAGCAAATCTTACCAAAGAGGCATCCCTGCTTTTGGGGCAGAGAGTGAAGCAATCCCATTGACTCATCTACAGAGTGGGGTCGTATTGCCATCCTCTGCCATGGAGGATTTCAAATGCCAAATTCATACTTTTGGGAGAAGTGGAGGTGAGAGTCAAGTCCTGAATGGTAGGGACCAGGCATCTTATATACAAATGAGGGTTATCAAGAGTTTTGATTAGAAAGAGCCTTGCACAAGGGCTGAACAGAGCAGTGTTAGTATCACTCCATCATCTGCCTGGCTCAGGCAGAAGTCAGGGGCCTCTGCTGGATAATCTCTCCAGCAGATTATGCACACATTGATTCCTCCACCACATATCTCAGGGATTTATGCCTCCTTCTTACAGTCAGGGCTAAATGACTTTGTTAATAACAATAATAGAACTCAAAGGTTTATCTAAATCAAATCAGAATAATCATTTTTTACACACCATAATATAGTTCAGTAAATGTAAATGAAGTTTTCTTTAGTTAGATCCAGAAGAGTGAATATCTATATCATCTCCTATAGCTGGAAAGTTCCTTTAGAGATTAAATGACCTGGTTTCATTAGAGATTAACTGCTCTGTTGATCTTAAGGGAAAGATCAACATTTTCCAAAGGCTCCAGCTTTTCTTGCAGTTCCTACCTCATGCAAAGCTTCCTACAAAGCAGAATCCTTAGCAGTGTGTTTTCCAGTTTGGGATTGCTGAAAATCAGAATCAGGGAATGAACACCCGGAAAGGCATACAGATACATGAATACAAGAAACATCATGGCATTTTCAGTCTTAGACGGAAAAATTATTGTCAAGATCAGACATATAAAGTTGATGCTGTACATTATGAAGAAGGAGAGAATGGATTTCATGGCTTTGATGTGGGCATCCATGCTGAGGTCCTTCGTGGAGTTTGTCTGCATGTTGCGTTTGTGTCTCCAGAGGGAAAAGAGAAGGAGAAGGGCAGAGGCGATGACTGCCAGGAACGAAGCAGTATATCCGAAGCCAGTGATGAAAGAAATATGGAACAAATGTTTCTCCATTTTGATACTTTCTTCCCAAAAATTTCCTGGACAGGTGAAATTGCGGTCCTTAGTGTGGAATTTTTCAGCGATATCATAGGCAAGGATGCTGATAGCTAAGGCTAAAAGCAC